GACAGCCGACAGCCAGCCGTCAGGGCAGCTCCCGGGTGACAGCCGACAGTCAGCCGTCAGGGCAGCTCCCGGGTGACAGCCGACAGCCAGCCGCCAGGGCAGCTCCCGGGTGACAGCCGACAGCCAGCCGTCAGTGCAGCTCCCGGGTGACAGCCGACAGCCAGCCGCCAGGGCAGCTACCGGGTGACACTGGGTGACAGCCGACAGCCAGCCGTCAGGAAGCAGCAGTGGGGCACAGCTGAGCACTGAGTGATTGCGCTCACTCGCTTCACTTTGATGTGCTTGGGAGAGGCTTCTGGCCTTGGCCAGGTAGCAGTGCTTGGCCTTGGCCTTGACCACACAGCAACCCTCCCAGCAGCTGACGCCTTGACCTGCTTCCCTGCAAGAAGTTTCTCCTCAGTCTCTTCTTTTCCACAGTCAAGATTCTTGCCCAGCCTGGGTTTTATGAGCCCCAACCGTGTAGACTCTGCTCTCCGGCTGCTGTGCTCCTGGGCACCCAGAACACAGCCCCCTGCCCCCTGTGCCATGCAGGGAGCCAGGCCCTCCACTGGGCCTCTCCCTAGGGAGCGAGTGCCCCGGGCCTGCCCTCCAGGTGGGCTCCCCCAGTGCCTGAGTTACGTCCCTGCAGCCTCTGCGGTTTTCTCCTGGCCACAGCCTCACAGCTGTTGGCCGGCAGCCATTCCACTGAGTCACGCCTACACTGTCCCATTTTGGTGGCACATTTGCGTGATTCAGGCTTTCCAAGCTGGAGAGAGACTTCTCCTGGAGGGAGGAACAAAGAGGGTGCATGAAGGGACGGTCATGGCCATGCTGCCCCCTGTGTAGAGCTGTTTGGATTCGAAAGCTCCTGTCTCCTCTGGAGTCCCCTCTGCTGCCTCCTGAGAGCCCCAGCCCCTCTCCTGTGGGGTCTCCTGGCCTCCACTTCCCCTTCTTCCTCTGCTGTCTCACCAAGACCCCTTGTTTGTCTCGCCTGGTAGGTGGTTCCATGAAGGCCTCTCGCGACACCAGGCAGAGAACCTCCTCATGGGCAAAGAGCTTGGTTTCTTCATCATCCGGGCCAGCCAGAGCTCCCCGGGGGACTTCTCCATCTCTGTCAGGTACCGGCCATTCCCGACATGCCTTGACCCAGATGAGTGAAGCCATGAGGTAACCTCTTGAATGTGACCTAATGATCAGGAGCTCGGTGGTCAAGGGGCCCAGGCATCTAGTCAATGGTGATGTCACCCGATTCTTCCCCTTAACACATGTGCAATGGCTTCTGGCCAAAATTATGTGCACCTTCATCTGTCGTCCCCTTTAGCCCTAGGCTTTGAGAAGGACACTGTTTCATCTGTATACAGTCCGCTGTGCCTTGTACCCGGCAGGTGCTCAGAGTCTTTGTGGAGGGGAGAGAGCGGGAGATGTGAGGGAAGCGCCCACTTTCCAGCTTGGGGTTGAACTCTTCACCTCTTCTTTTACTGCCGTGGTGGGTCTGGAGAAGGGCCAGAGAAAAGCTGGAATGTTCAGCCATTGCTGTAGGTTGCACGTGCAGTTGTAGGTGCCTGCAGCGGAAGAAGTTCCTCAGTACATCATAGTGCAGCAAAACTGAGGGCCACAGAACCGGCAGACGAGGCCGGGGTGGGGGCAGGGAGGCTGCGACAGCAAAATCTCATAAATGAGCAGCACCGGGAGGAAATGACTCAGTCCAGGCAGAAACATGACACAGCCCCACACTCAGAAACCCCATGTCTGAGCAAACTGCCTGTGGTCAGTGTATCGGGGAATGCAAGTCATGTATCCGAAAGGTGAGCACGGGTGCGGGTGTAAGAATACAGACCGGGGCCGTCCTCGGTGGCTCAGCAGGTTAGGACGCAGCGCTACTAGCTAGTGGCAGCCGTCTCAGTGCGAGTTCGATCCCCGGCCCCGGAGGTGATCCACATGGTGCAGCAGACCTCTCTTGTCTCCCCGCTGCTCCCCTCAGCAGTGTACTTCATCAGTCTGCCTGTTCTGTTCCTCACTCTGTCTCTGGTGAAGACTCTCACCTCTGGCTTGTACCCCAGTTCTGTATAAATGAATAAATAAATCTTAAAAAAAAATGAATACGGGCCAGGAAGCTGGAGAGGCAAGCCTGTCTGCGGGGAAGGCTGGTCTAGGTTATTCAGCAAGTTTGGACAGCTTCCAGCTTTAGTGTTGTAAGTACATAGATCCAATCTCAGGTAATCAACTGAGGCCACCTTACTATTGAGAAAGAATATATTTTTTAGGAATCGGTAGGAAGTTCTTACAAAAAATGGATCAATCACTTGCGTGTTCATGTGTGTCTAAAGTGCTCAGAAATAGCTTGGACTCCTCAGCCTGACCCTTGTCACCTCCCATAACTCTTCATTTTCCTTGACTAAAACTTTTTCACAGCTTGGGCAATGGTAGATTACAGTTTAGCCCAATGTTGATGTATCACAAATTCTAAACTTGTGAGATCTTAATTAATGAAATTCAGCTCTATTAATAAATGTTACAAGTCACCTGTTTCTCTAAGGTCCCAGTGATAGACTGGCCAAGAACATGGTGAGACCGAGGGCAGCTTGGGGCCCCTCCGGCTTCTATAAAGTTGACTCTGACTTCGTAGCTAGGAATTATAGTTTCTGTTTCCTTAAAGATGTGAGTTCTACAAAGCAGCAGCCTTGACTCCTGCCAAAGTCCTCCCCTGCTATTGAGGCAACGCACTTCTCATTATGGTGATTATTACCATGATTATTATTGCCTCTCCCGGAGAAAGAGAATGTAATATATTCCAAAGCAAAATCATTTTTATTTATTACATCTGCTTTCTGTCATGGGCACAGATAATTAAGAGCTAATTATAGTTCTATTACTTAGCATTTGTTGAGAGTCTGAGACACTAGACTTCAGGGTCTGGCCCTAAGTCACTGCCTCTTCTCTGCCTGTCTGGACCTGAGACAGGGGCCAGACAACTCTCTCCTGGTCCCAGATGACCAACTGCAACCTGGACATCCATCCTCACAGCTTCTAAACATGCAAGGGTTCATGTTTTGCACCTATGTTCTTTCACTAAGAGGTGGTAGATGAATAATTATAATATCCCAAGGATAGTTCCCTCTCCTTATCCAGATTTGAGGAGTAGTGGCTGTGAGTTGAGCCATGTGGCTTAGTGTGAGGAAGTGATAAAACCACTGGGGGCCCAGGCAGTGACTTGAAGTTGCTACCCATGGATCTAGTTCACCTGGAACAGCAGGGCCAGCTCATAAGATAAGGCTGATGGTCAGAACTCCTGTCCCTTCTGAACATAATGCTAAATCCAGCCTACAAAGCCTCCACTAACCTTCAGAAGTATCTTTGCCCTCCAAGATTTTAGATTCTTGACCCTTCTAGTGAATCAGGCAATTGGTATCATTAACACCAGTTTATTTTTAGATATAAATGTTTGCCTGTTGACAATAAACTTGACATCCAAAAGAAAGTGACTTGGCAACAAAGAAAGGCTGGAGCTAATAGCAAAGGGTCAGCCCCAGCCCTACCTACTCTTCCAGTCAGGCTGGTACAAATGTGCCCCATCTCCTGTAATGCCAGCTGACACCAACAGGTGCTGGTCTAAAAGATGTTGGCAGGACCCTGGTGTGATCAGACTAGGGACTGATCAGAGGCCTGGCGTCCTGCCTCAGCGCTGCCTCTCATTCACAGCAACCTTGACCAAGCCCCTCCACCTCCTTGAGCCTGTAACCCCTGATCCTTTAGGTGAAGATTTAAGACTAAACAATATCTGGGGTCCTCTCCAGTCAGAATTCTGCAATCCTACAAAACACTTCTTTCCCCAAAAGCTCAGGGTACTTTGTAACCTTACTCATGCAAAATTTAAACCAAGACCGCTCCATTCTGGAGAGAACAAAGCTGACGAAATTCTCAGGTTAGTGTCTTGCCATCCACAGCTAGTTGATGGCTCAACAGAGCTGACTGAAAGCGCTGCTGATAACAGAACAATAACTGCACAATGGAAGCCACCAGAAAACCCCTCTGAGTCTCTGCCTCTGAAAAGCTTTCTCTTCTGAGTCTGGGCAGAGTCCTCACCCTGGCAAGGACTGAGAGGTTACCATGTTTCTAGGAAATGTTGTACAAAAGCCCTTGACCTCTTAGTCTTTAAAGCGCTGAAAGTCAAAGTCCTACTCCAGCATCAGAAGCCAGATGGCCTTCTTTCTGCCACCGTAAAGAGCCCCTCCAGTGAGCTGTCCCTCCCACCACTCTCCGGCCCGTCCGCCGGGCTGTGCTGGGCAGGCCCGCCCCGCGTCTCCACCGCCTGCCCCAACAGCGCTCGGCCCCCTGGAGGCCTGTAACATACAATTTGGATTTGCTTGATCTCCAGGCATGAGGATGATGTTCAGCACTTCAAAGTGATGAGAGACAACAAGGGTAATTACTTCCTGTGGACAGAGAAGTTTCCATCCCTGAATAAGCTGGTGGACTACTACAGGACAACGTCCATCTCCAAACAGAAGCAGATCTTTCTGCGGGACAAAACCCAAGAGGACCAGGTAGGTGCCACATCCCGACGGGCCCCCAGCCAGAGATCTGTGGCAGCTGGAATCCCACGTGAACCGCGCAGACATGCACTGGTGGGCGGCCGCCTGTGTGTTCGGAAAAGCGCCGTGACGGAAGCCAGAGCTCGGTGTCAACGCTAGTCAGTCAGTGCTCACGCGCCCCAGCCACGCGACTCTGGGAGTTTCACCTGTCCTCAGGTTTCTTAGCCATAAACCAGGCGGTAGAGCCCTCCCGTCGCGGATGGTCAGGGAAGACCGTGTCCCCTCCCGTCATCCCTCACCACACCCCAGGCACTCAGCACACGAGGGCTACCTCACAGCTCTGTGCCCAGCTCAGGAGTTGCCCAGAGGAAGGGGCACTGCGCGCCCAGAGGGAGCGAGAAGAGTCTAGAGGGCGGGACGAAGCCGCGCTGGGGCCTCAACTGGACAGGGTGCGCGGGAAGGGGTTGGGGAGAAAGCTGGGCCTGGAACGCTCTCTCTGTGGGGACAGTGTGGATCACAGCGGATGGTGTCAAGGCAGCTGCAGACCTGGTGTTAAGCTCTGATTTTCCATCCCTAACTATCCTCATTACCTCACCCGGCTAAGAAACCCTTCTGGGTGTCCGTTTCCTCATCTGTAGTGTGGAGAGATCATAGTGTGTCCTTCGCTGGGCTATTGTGAGGGTTCAGTGAGCACTTGCCACAGAACCTGGTCCACATTAGGTGCTGAGAAAATGCTAACTTGCCTCCCATATGTAAATTTTCATGAGCTCACGCACCACACATGCAATTTATAAAATATTTTTCAAAATAAAGACTTGTTTATAAGAGTCAGGTATTGTAGGAAGCAGCACTGGTTGGAAGAGTTGACCCAAGGGCTGGTTATTTGAGAGTCACTGAGACTCTCAAAGCAATGTGTGTTTTGAGGGGAAGAAGGGGAGTAAAAAAAAACAAAACTCCCTCTCGAAAAATCTGTTGGTTTTAAGCCTGAGAAGTTACAATCAGAGCGAAGGGTGTTCCCACCCCTGTACACAGAAATTCAGGAAGGAAAACAAAGGTCAGCCAACACATTGCTGGTTATTTCAACCAGGAAATGGGCAGAGGTATTAATCTACCAGGATGTGCGTGAGAAGATAAGAGAAGGAACACGAAATGCATTGGACTGGATGAAGTGAGAAGCGCTTAGCACGCGCCTGCACATACCCAGCCTGGGGCCCAGTGCAATTGTTGTTAAGTAAAAATAACAAGAAAGTATGACCAGTTAGAGAGTGGCTGTAGCATGGAGCGGAAGAGGCGTGTTCCTTCCCGGCATGCCCTGGCCTGGTTTCTGTGGTGCTACCAGAGTGTTGCTGTTTTGGTCACTAGCGCCAGGCTGTAAATGGCAGTTCAGAACCACGCCAAGTCATAGCGGGCTTATCTGGAGGGTAGGACGGCCAGCAGTGGCAACCTGCGATGAGGGGTGGCATTGTGTCAGTAAAATGGAATATTTCAGCTCGATTACACAGATTACACAGCCCACTGGGAATGCTCTAAATGGGCCCCAGGGGGGAAATGTCAGCAGCAAGCCAGGGGCGTGCCCCCCCAATTGGGAGACTCTTTAGATACAGAGGGTCTGAACAACCGATCTCCCAAAGTGCACCCTCCCCACCCTGCTGTGGTGAGCAGTGGCTGGACAGAGCCGGCAGGGCGGCAGGGAGACCCTGAGAGGCGGGAGAAGAGCTCTGAGTCATATTCCCTCTCAGGGCCGCCGGGGCAACAGCCTGGACCGGAGGCCTCAGGGAAGCCCGCACCCCAGCGGGGCCGTGGGGGAAGAAATCCGGCCTTCAATGAACAGGAAGCTGTCGGACCAGCCCCCTCCTGCCCCGGCACAGTACACCCCGGGACCCCCGCCAACACAGTCGCGGTATCTGCAGCACCCCCATTTTCACCAGGTATCTCGGAAGAATGAAGTGGGGGACGATGAGGGGAGGATCTACCCTCCCCCAAGCGCAGGCCACCTGTCCCACTGCCCCAGAGGG